AGTAACGAACTGCCTGGCTCTGAGCGGGAGGCAAGCAGGAGCAGGATCTAAGAGCAGTGCGATTGGATGTGCTGTGCTTGGGGGTGGTGGTAACTAAAACCAAACTGAATAATAATAATAATAATAAAAAAAAAGCTTCCCATGTACACAGCTATTTTGGGTAGCTGATGGCTCCCGGCTTTGTACATTTTGGAGCCTTATCATTTTTCCAAATTTCCCAGAGAGGGGTTTGTTTTGCTTTTAGGTTTTGGAGAACGTGATCCTTAGCCCCAGAATCCCACTGGCTTTCTTCCGGACGCCGAGATCAGCAGAGCTGGATGGGTTCTTCGCTGATGGCATCCTCCCTGTGCGCTGCTGGCCCGTTACGGAGATCTCCGGAGCTCTGCCAAGGCTGCCTGCACCGGTCCGGATTTTTCACTTGTCCCGGTATCGGTGATTCCGAGGCCGTGGTGACAGACCAGCTCTGTGCTGTACCTCTCCATGCGGTTGAAGCATGACACGTTCCAGCTTAAAGAACAACACGGAGAACGCCCCCGCCCGGGTGTTCCTGGGTTATTCTTTAGCCAAGCTTCACTGCACAAAGAGCGCAGAATAGTCCAAGGGTGAGCAGGGATGGCGAGGGCCAGCGATTTATGAAGCCAGTGTTGCTGCTGCAGGTTTTATGGTGAAAGCGATGGCGGTGTGTCGGTGGAGGTGATGTCCTGATGGAGAGGCAATAAAGCAGGCTGGGTAAGTGCACCCTAATAGGCAGCTATCCGAGCTATCCGCTGCGATAACCCAGCCGACAGAGGGCTTGGATGCTGTAACTCTGCTCTCCTACACCCCTCCTGAGATGTAGTACGTGTCACTGGTGCATACACTTCTCCGCGCCATTGCCCTGGGTGCTCAAAACCAAACTCCTTTCATTTCCCCACCCCCCCAGGTTGGGAAACTGGTAAGTTAATGTTCTTGCTACGGAGGATGTAGGTGGGGACAGGCTTCAGCAGGGCTAAAATGGTTCTCTGGGGCTTAGCGAACATCCCATCTCTTGCGATTCACTCTCATTAATGTCTTAATCAAGCAGCTGTTTTCCTGGCAAGTAGTTATTACCCCCAGTGCTCTGCCACCCGCCCTCGCAATGCCCTTCGTGAGGGCAGAGACGGGGGGGTGGGGGGATTTCTGAGGGGTGTTAAGCCCTTCCCTTAACACTCGAGGGAGTGTTAAGGAAACAGACTTACACAAAACAAAGTCCAAATTCGTTTGTAAATTCTCACTGCCATATAGGAGCCTGGAAAGAAAGAACCGCGGATAGCTGCGATGTAGCCTGTTGCTGGAGCTGGGCTATAAATAAGGTCTGGCCCTTGCTAACCAGCAGTTCTTTTTTGGAGCCGAGTTCAATGCGGAGAGCCGGGGCTGCTCGCAAGCAGAAAGCCTGAGCTCTGTGAGACTAATTGCCTGTGATGACTTGTGTCCGTTAATTGGCGCGATCTGGGCTGCTCTGCGCTCTATACCACCACTTGAATTAAGCCTTGAACAGCGACCGATTGTATTTTCATTAATAAAACAGTCACTTACAGTTTTTCTGAGATTCTTGCTTCTGTCTGCTCTAGGTTTCAGGGCTTCCAGGAGTGGCTGCCCACCGCATTGGCAAGGCTCTGCTGAGAACGGTTCGTGCTGAAGGAAGCCCTTGGAAGTGCCACATGCAGGATAAAATGATTGGTCTAAATACTATATTTGGCACCAGCTTTTCATCTAAACCAGAGCCACTTTACACCTGGCTGGCAAGATAAAGGGACTTAAAATGAGCGTGAGTATGATTTTATGCCCGAGCGGTATACAAAGGCCTCCGCATAAACGAATACCAGGGCTTCAAAGCTTTTGCTGAATGTTTTTCTACCACCTATAGTACTGTCAGGCTATTTTATTTTCGAGGTGCAGCGATATCGCCGAGCAGCCCATTTAAAGGCTGTTCTGCTTGCTTTAAGGAGGAATGGGCAGCCAGGTATATGCTGCTATCCCCTGCTGGATGAGCTTAGCTGTTTTCTGGGACATATACTCCTACCCACGGGAGACTTTTTTTTTTTTTTTTTTTCTCTTTGCTACTTTTTTAGTCTTTTGCAATAAGAGCATCTAAATTCTGTCCTTGGCTGATACTTTGGTACTTGCTACGCTGAGATCACGGCTGTGTCTGACCCGGGCTGCCGCTGCCCTTCTTCCCCACCCAATGTTTAGACTGGACCTAAGGAAGAAATTCTTTCCAATGAGGGTGGTAAAACACTGGAACAGGTTGCCCAGAGAGGGGGTGGAGGCCCCATCCCTGGGACCATTCCAGGCCAGGTTGGCCGGGGCTGTGAGCAACCTGATGTGGTTCAAGGTGTCCCTGCTCCTGCGGGGGGGTTGGGCTGGGTGACCTCTGGGGGTCCCTTCCCACCCAAACCAGTCTATGATTCTCTGCCATCACCAGGAGAAGGTTGTTACCGTGCGTCCATCCTCGTGAGGATCTTGTTGGGAAGTACAGGCAGGAGCAGGAGGCGATTGCGCTCGGATTGCCCCAGACCGCCGGGCGTTTGGGCTGCGCTGAGCTGTAAGCGGTTACAGACAGCAAAAACCTTATTTCCACTTTGGTCACGTCAATGGTTGGAAGGCTTTTGATTAAAAGGCGAATACATTTCAAGCCCAGTGGTAGTAAAGCGCCGCTGGGGACGGCCGGAGGCGGGCGTGCAGGCGGTGGCTGCCCTGGCAGCGGGGCAGGGGCCTGGCCTGGGGAGGGAGGCGTCCATCTTGTGCTGGGGGGGCTTTTCTTGGGGAAAAGGGATGTTGGGAGAGCCAGGGAAGCATGGGATGGCGTTGCTGAGGGGATCAGAGCCGCTTCCATGCCCGGAGTGGGATGAGAGGGGGCTCCGGGTGG